GCTCTAACGCCAAGGCTTTTCTTCCTGAGGTCGTGTTGCCCTGCACGAATCCCTCTCTGTTTCCTGCAAACGACGCTTCCACCTGTCGGGAGCCGGCACTGAGGACGAGCTCATTTTCTGGCATCTCAGTGACACGTGCTTTCGTGGAAGGAAAGCAGAGCGCTGCAGTTAGTCATCTGGACCTGTAGGGACGATGGCATTGCAGGGGTTAAGAAGGTGGACGCGGGACAGACGTGCTTGAGTCTAGTTCAGTCTGGTATTGATGTATGTTCCTGGGCAAGCTGTGGTTCCCTTGGCTGCTAAATGCGAATAACTGTAGTGTGTGTTTCACGTAATCTTTCCGTGAGGATTTTGGGGTTGGGAGAAGCTTCCACAGAAGACCTTCCCTGAAGCCTCTACTCAGTGCTGCCTCCTTCATGAAGACTTTCCCAATCCACCGGGTAGATGTTCTCTCCCTTCTTCTAAATAGTAGTAGAGTTCCTTTGGTAGGGCACGGACCCCATTCTGCCCTGCATTATGGTTATTAGTGTCTTTACTTTATTTCACTGGCTGAAAGAAGTGCTAAAAACAGACAGTGCCAGGCCCTCAGGGACCTGGGCCTGCTCTGCCTCTGCCTCCTGTCCTTCCCGAGCACCTTGCCTGCAGTTCTCAAAGCTCCTGTGTGCACCCAGGGTCCTGCTACCTGGAATGCTCCCTCCCTGGACTGGCCTCCTCGAGTAGCGATTAGCACGGCTGAAGAATTCCCAGAATGTAAAAGTGCTTTTGAAAGCGCCAAGAAACTGTGGCAGCTGCCCACGGTCACTGTTGGGTGAATGGATGGTGTTTTGACAATCAGTGGAAATCCTTCACTATGTCGATGGCAACAAGCTGGGGTCCCCGTTGCCTGGGGTGGGTGACTTGGTGACCAGCTGTTTCCCTGCGGTTTCGAATACCCAAGTGCCTATTGCTGAGGCCCACACAGCCGTGGGAGGCAAGCGATCAGAGGGACTTGGGCTGCGTCGCTCCCTCTGAATGGCCCTCTTTCATCAGCATGTGCAGGGACAAGGGCCTTTTCAGCCCAAACATCAGGGGAAGACGAGAGAGTTTCCTAAGAGCCATTTGCTCTCTGGGTGGGGACATCATCCAAGGACGAGGACTCCCAGCTGAAGGCCTCCAGCCTCGCTCTCTCCTCTCCGCCTTCTCCGGAGGGGGTGGGAGGCAGGAGCTTGGGCGGTGAGGCCTGTGACCCCGGCAGTCATGACCCTTTTCCATTTCACCGACTTCTGCGTCTCCCTTCAGCTGCCTCCTCTCTTCTGCTCTTCAGGGTTTCCAGCCCAAATCAGTGCGTATGTCAACACTGGTTTCTCTCTTCCTCCCGTGCCTTGATGTCTGGATGACTGGCCGTGTGTGCTCTGAGGGCTGGGGGTTTTTGAGGAGCAGGGATTGAGGTTTTTCTCTGTCCTCAGTGCGTTGTAGAAACTTGAATCCCGCGTCATCATCATCTGAAGCCAGTGTCGTCTGAGAGCCTGTTTACGCTCTGGAGATAGCAGCGTTGAGGGTGGGGGTCGGGAGGGCAGGGGCCGGCTTTGCTTTCAATTCCTGATTTTTTTTCTTACAGCGACAGAGGAAGACAGTTCAGTTTTGTTTGTCTGGGTCTGACCTTCTGGAGCTCTAGTCACTCTGTTTAGGACACCAGCATCTTTGAGGCGATGGCTGGTGTTTCTGTAGCCGGGATGGGTGGCTGGTGGCGTTTGCTCCCAGCCCTGAGCAGCTAGGGAAGCATGTGTGCCATTTCCCAAGTGCACTGTTAAAGGGCTTCCTTCCCCACAGGGGCACCTCGAGGCTGATGGATCGGGGTGCAGTGCCCCTGGGTGTTAGCAGCCGGGCCGAGAGCCCCACGGAGCACTGGCAGCAGGAGATGGTGTTGGCGTCAGCCAGCCAGAGGGTGCGTGACGCTCTGGCGCAGTGAGCTCAGACCAGGAGACGGGAAGCAGGGTCAAGAGGAATGTCTGCATCTCATTCCGTGAATCCTGTGGTGGCCCCTGCTCCGTGGCCTCTGCTCCGCGGCCTCTTGGCCCCACGGTCATCTCGGGTGGCCATCCCCGTGCTGCATCCTCTCACTCTCTCCCCAGGCACAGGGCGAGGGCACCAGCTCCTCGGGGATAATGTGTTCCCTGGGCTTCCCTGCGGCTTCCAGTCTCACTCTTCCAGTAAACGCCCGTGACTGATTGCTGGGAGGAGGGCAGAGGTGGTGTGTTCCCAGCCGCAGCCACACAGCCTGAGTGCACGGGAGGCTCCGGCTCTTTATCAGCCTCGGGAACCCTGGGGCCCGGCTGGCCTCTCCCGTCAGTGGTCACAGGGATCACGGGGTAAAACCGGCCTATTCTTTTGCATTGTTCCCCTTTCTTTCCAAAGGAAGTGTAAGGGAAACCAAGGGGAATTTTCGCCCATGATTTCCAAGGCAAAGGTCACCGTTAATGGCTGGCTGTTTCCAGAGTGCTCGGGTTTCTGGTCAGTATGGATTTTTGTTTTTCTTTTTCCTTTTTTTTTTTTTTTTAACTCATGAACAAAAGAGGCTGATGTTGCCTTGCAGAGATTTTCCCCAGCGGCTTTGATGAACTGATTGTTAAGTTTCATGGGCTTTGGAGTCCCTTGGGCAGCGCTTTCAGGTTTTGCTGAGAGAAGGTAGTAATCGATCTGGGTCTAAAATAGAGTAGTTCTGGAAACAAACGTGGTTGTGAAATTTTAAGGAAGGAGAGGGTGAGGCATTGGAAGGGTCGGAAAGTGTTGGGCAATCCTGCCACCTGCTAAATTGAGACAACCTGGATTTCAAAGGCGCCAGGAGGACGCTAAGCGCTTCTTGCCATCTGTGGGCGAGAGTGGGACAGCAGAGAAAGGAGGCTTCTCGTTCCTTCCATCGTTTGCAGTCCCGGGCCCCTCAACACTTGTAACTCACAGCACAGACATGTGACTAGTAGGCGGAAGGATGGCTTGGCAGTGCATTTGCAATCGTGAATAAAGAAGTGGTGTACAGATGTAAGGTATTGGTGTTAGGAAATCTGTGAAGCCAGGTTGCGGTAATGCAAAGGCCCAAGTAAGAGAGGCAGAACTAAGCCTTAGTATTCAATGTTCGAGCAGGTCAGTATCGTTAGCACGGGAATTCAACCGGAAAAATGAACAGATTTGATTATGGACTTACATTCCAGAAGATAACCGTTCTTCTGATTCCAGGATCTGCTGACTTCCATGCTAGTTTGTGTGGTGAGTTTTCTTAGCACTTAGAGTTACAGCCCTCAGCTGAGTGTTTTATTTCAGGATTAGAACGTCCGACTACTCACCTTAGGTGTCTTGGGCAAAGGTGATCTTGCTTTTTCATGTTACAGAAGATGTTGTGTTTCTGTCAGGAATTGATTTGCTCTCTGTGAAAACAAACAAAAAAAGTGCAGGTTTTTTAAAAGATTTTCCCCTTCACATTATTTACATTTTAATTGGTTGCTCAAGAGAGAATTAATGATCTTTACAGTTTCCTAAAATTTATTTATTTATTTATTTATTTAAAGATTTTTATTTATTTATCTTTAGAGGGGAAGGGAAGGAGAGAGGGAGAGAAACATCAATGTATGGTTGCTTCTCATGCATTCCCTGCTGGGAACTGGCCTGCAACCCAGGCATGTGCCCCGACTGGGAATCGGACTGCGACTGCCTGGTTTGCAAGCCTATGCTCAATCCACTGAGCTACATCAGCCAGGGCTAGTTTCCTAAAATTTGAACTGTGATCTTCTCTCACAAAATTAATAAAAGTAAAATGTGTTTTTTTGTTATAACGAGTACAATGTTTTCTATTACTTTGAAAAATCCAACAAAAATAATCTTTTTAAAAAGTTAGTATTTGCTCAGTGTAGGAGCTTTGGGACATACAAAGGGGTAGAAAGAAGATGATCACGGATAGTTCGACCCCTCAAAAAATACTGCTAAAAATTTTGGTGTATTTTATGGGTAATTTTCAGAGTTGATGGAATTTTTGAATAATTCTAGTAATTAATAGATAATATAGTCTATCAATTTATACAGTCTTAATTTCTCCATCAGCAAAAGAATTTTGGGGGCATTTGGAAACCTTGAAAAATGTTTAATTGCAAATTTTTTAGCTATAGGTTGAATGTAAAAATTTTTTTTAAAGATTCTATTTATTTTTAGAGAGAGGAGAAGGGAGGGAGGAAGAAAAGGAGAGAAACATCAGTGTGTGGTTGCTTCTCACATACCCCTACCGGGGATCTGGCCCACAGTCCAGGCATGTCCCCCGACAGGGAATCGAACCGGAGACCCTTTGGTTTGCAGGCCGTCACTCAGTCCACTGAGCCACACCAGCCAGGGCTGAATGTAAATGTTGTTGGTAGTTAAAATAACAAAAGACCAAAGATTCATTCTGCTCCAAAATTCATTGGGTCAAGTTCAGGTTTTCTGCAGCAACAGTGGACAGAGCAACCTGGGCTAAGTTACATCACAGGTCAATAGCCACTCTCTCTTCTTAAGATGCAAACAAACAGTGGAAGTGTCATTTCCGCTTCCTCGGATTCCATCACGGGAAGGCATCAAGAAGCCGTCAAGTTGTTAAAAGTCATGGAGTCAGAAACAGAGGTCAGCAGCAAGACTTCAATGCACACAGTGAATCACCCTGTCCTAGTCCGAGAGTCAGTCCCTATTTTTAGAAGATGCTGTATTACAGTGCCGTCCCTTTACAGTGCCCTGCAGGAAGGGGCTCTTGGCCCTGGAAGAGCCCACGTAAAACCTCGGGCGTTTTAGTGGCAGCATTCTTTCATCATGCAAACTCTCCAGCAGCAGGCTTGCCGCTAAGGTTTGGGAAGAAAGACTGTTATGTGAAGTTTCTGTAAAAGCTGTTTTATCCCATTTGATTTTTATATGCTATTTGTCCGCACTCCAGCTTTGCCTCTGGAGCATGTCTTGGCCCATTTTCCTCTCTGAATTCCAGCCTAACTGTGCTCGGGTTTTCTTCTTCCCAGTGTAAGTGAGAGCTTTTTCATGGTGAAAGGAGCAGCCCTCTTCTTACAGCAGGGGAGCAGCCCTCAAGGCCAGCGAAGTCTTCAGCATCCCCACAAGCACGCAGGTAAACTGGTGTCCTCACGTCGGAACGTATTTTCTCTGCTACTAGAGGGACTTCCTATTACTGGTGGTGAGCTGTCTGCTGGGTTGCAAGGCGAGAACGGTGGCGGGACCAGCTTGTAATGAAAGCCCTTCCTTGTGCGGGCGGTCCATGCGTTTTGCAGGTGGCACCGGGAGCAGGTGACCACCCTTTTGAGTGTCTGTGTCTGACTCAACCAAATGGTTGGTAGTATTTGGTTTGGATGTGAAGATTTACTACTCAGAGTTTACAGTTAACTGTATATTTTAAGTTGTAGTATGACTTTTTAAACAAATGCACCAGCAGGCACTATAGCCAGGTGGTGTCCCCTTGACGCCAGCCACCTTGGGGTACCACGAACCTACGCTGGAGATGTCATTTCTCTGAGCATTTGGAAAATTTCTTTCTTTGGGGTTTTTTTCCCCACATTCTCTACAATCCACTACTCTTACAATTAGTATCAAAAAGAAAAAAATCTGTTTTTATAAAAGGCAGTTGAATGAAAAACATCAGTTATTAAACTTTGCCAAGACCATCTAGAAAGAAACAAAATTTAGTGACCTATTTGACATGAGCTGCGGATAGCCTACCTGGTCTCACAGAGCGGTGTGTGTCCACACTGTGCATCCCTCCCTCCCTTCTTCCACCCCATAGGGGTGGGAAGAGAGGGTACCCACGGACAGAACTCATGGAGTCCTCGTTTTTCAGCCAGGGGCAGAGGGAACCCCAGTGCCAACAGAGAGGATTCCTAGCTGGCCTTCCAGTGGAACAGAGCTATAACATGTTGTCTCGGGTGTTGGGCCTACAGGTGATAAAGGTTTTAAATTCTCATTCCAGCTTTTCTATAACAGGATGTGTTACTCTTACAATGCAAAGAGAGCTCCAGCCAGCCTCGTTTGGGGAACCTATTTACGAGCCTTTGGCACGCACTGAGATGGGATGTCTCTGTTTTTAATGGCGGATTTGGTTCAGGCACATAGGGAAGTGATAAAGCAGGGATTGAAACTAGTATTACTTTAGGTCCAAAAGCAAACAAATGAGGAACACCTATAAAGTAACAAGCCTGGTTTTCTCTGGTGACTGGACTATGAAACCAAGGGCAATTTGAGAAGTAGAATTCAGAAAACATTTGTGCACAAGTCGATCTTTGTAATAGGTGGTGACCTCTCCAGGTGCTTCTTGGGCAAGCCACTGACACCTGAGTGTGAGCTGGAAAGGCCTTACACACCTGAGTGTGAGCTGGAAAGGTCCTGGACCCTCGGACAGTAGGGGAAGGCAGACTGCCAGTTTTCTTGTCACTTTGATCGTTTTGTTTGACCTCCGGTCATCCAGCCTCATTTTGGATCTGAGGGCCTCGATTAGAACTTCGTATCTTACAGTTCAATAGCAAACACCGAAGGCTCAACCAACAGTTTCATGTAATGATATTTGTAATCAAGGTTCAGGTCTATTTTAAGCTAAGGAAATACTTGCCCTGCACAAGGAGGCGTTGTGGTTTGGGGAAAGAATATGGGCTTCGGAGCCAGGCAGACCGGCGCCCGATCCCGGTTCCACAGCTCACTCCGCTGTCACCATCAGCCCCTGAGCCTTGGTTTCCTGGTCTTTACAGTGGGTGTCAGGGACCAGAACCTCGGAGGGTGTGGACGTCAAAACTCACACGGGTAGCACATTTGTCTCCTCGTACATGCTCTGTTGTGGTAGCTATGACGGTTACTGTGATGGCTCCCAGGACCAAAATCCCATCCACAGAACCTTCACTCTTGATTTTGCCAACAGTTTTGCCCCGTTAGGGGTTTAATCATTGTTTATGTCATTGTTGTGAACGATGCCCAGGCTTTGTTCACTCGGTGTGAGTGTGAAGCGTCTCCTTCCTCTGAATCAGACAGTACATTCACACTGCGCGAGAGCTGGAGGAAGTAAGTGCAGAACTGTTCTGTAGAAACCCCGGGTCGGGCTGGCTTGTGTGTCCCCTGAATGTGCGTGAGAGCAGGAGGAAGGCCGCTGGCTTGGTGGCTGTGGGCCCCTGGGGTCTGGGATGGCTGGTGTGCTCAGAAAGGCGGGGGACTGCGGACCGTCCCGGGGTGCCCCACAGCCCCATCAGTAATCGCTGCGCAGAGCTGAGTGCAACGGAGGGTGGGTTCTGTACACGTAAAAGTAATTTAGTTCGTGTCAGCCAGTCCAGTCCCTCTGTGCTTCTCTGCTCCGGTTTCTGTGCAGGTGCCTGGCGAGCACGCCGGCGTGCGGAGACCGTGTGTGGACGCCGGACCGGGGTCGGGACCCCTTCGGCAGCCCCACGCCTCCACGAGCTGTCCCGCTGAAAGGAATCTCTCTGTACAGAGTGTCCCCTTCCCGTAGGCGCCTGTCTGACCTGGGGCTGCTTTCACTTTCATCTGTGTGCTTTGACTCAGAGCAGGTGGTCTCAGGGCCCAGGCAAGCCAAGGACCCGCGTGGTGGTTGTCGCGTGGTGGTTGTCGGCCTTTGTGGCATTGGTGACAGGACAGGCGAGGGCGCCCTTAGGTAGAGGAAAGGGACAGGGGCCCTGCATCCTTCTCCAAGTGCATCCTGACCTCCGAGTCATTCCTCACGGGAAGTGGTGCCAGTGCGGGGTGCTGTGCCCTGGGGACCCTAGAACAGAACAGACAGCAGGAGCGGCTTGCTTTTAAAAAATCTTTCCAACTGAATTTTACATTCAGAATTATTCTGTATTAGTTGCACAGGAACAGCAAAGTGGTTAGAAAACCAGGTACTTTACAGAGTGGTTCCCCCGCAGCCCCGTACCCGTTTATCTCAGCGTTACTGACCATGTGCCCTGGGTTGTAAGGCACATCCCTGCGGCTCTTGAGTAACTGCCAGTTTGCACTGCTTCTTCCTGTCCCCTCGTCACCAGACCGCCATCCCCTCCCCTCCGACGGCCGTCAGTCTGTTCTCTGTGTCTCCGAGTCTGTTTCTGCTTCGTTTGGTGCCTTATTTTGTGAGGGGCAATTTTCTGATGACCCAATTCCTCTCTGAGGCAGGAAGTACAACTTGGACATCACATATCAACCCGTCCTAAAATTTAAAAGGTACTTTTGCCAAAGGAATAACTTCAGTGTATTGATCCTACTGGGTTTCTAGTTGTGCTCTATAGGGTAATTCTTTTTTAAAAAAAAAAAAGATAATTCTATTTCCTTAGGGCAGCAATTTTCAAGCAGCGTACCACAAGAAACTTGTCAGTTTCCCTTTTCCCTTAGACTGTCAAATAAAAAAAACGGCAACAGCCAACACAACAATAGCTGTCTGGTGTGAATGAATCAAAATTTTACTTTTTTTTTTGTCAGATCAGCCAAAAAATACATTTTTTTAGTGTGCTGCAGAATTTTTGTAATTAGTTTGTGTGTGCCATGAGATGAAAAAGGTTGAAAATCGTTGCCTCAGGGTGTTGCACAAAATGAAATTAATACAGATTTTTTCTGAGTGTTCCTTGCATTTTTCTATATCAGCATCTTTACAGATGAACCTTTTCTTCAGAAAGAAACCCATGCAGACATTTTTTTTTTTTAATGTACAAGTTAGGAGAAGAGCGACATTAGAGTCACACTTGCTCCTTACCAATTAGGAACTTTGGTTTCCGAGGCCCCACTGCCTGGAATGCCCAGCTCTTCCTTCCACTGGGCTGATCCTGCGTGGCCTTGGAGACCCACCGCCTCCCTGCCCTGCCTAGCCCGGGGGGGCCGCTGCACCCTGGGGCCACTCAGAGAAGTTGGGAACCTGGCCCTGGATTGCTGCCTCTTAAATAACTTGGGGTGGAGGTGGGGGAGTGTGATTTTTAGCAAGCAGAGAAAAAGTGGCAGCTTGCTGTCATTTCTCTGGGCCTCGGCCTTTTGTCTGTAGAGTCAGGTGCCCCCTGCTCTTGGAAGCCTAACCTCACATGGCAGGTGCGGAAGAGCTGAGAGGGGGAAAGCGGCGCCCAGTCCAGGCCTGCTCCCTTCAGAGGCTCTTCGCTGGCCCCTCCTTCAGCCGCGTCCTTGGTTCCTGCTGCCTTACCCTGCAAAATGACGTTTGCTTGAATTTAATGATATTTCCACTCCAGGCTTGTCTATTTTTGCCAAATTTTGCATTTAAAAACCCATATCGCAAGTATTTGGGAAAATAAAAGTCACTTCTAAAAACAGAGCAAAAAGCTGTGTCTCACTCCTGCTCATTGTACTTTTTGGGAGCAGGGTGAGAGAGCTGAGGCTTCATGGTTTTGTGATGTGTCCCTTGGGGTGGAGGGAGAGGAGTTTTAACACCTGGGTCTTCTCTTGGGCCCATAAGATCAGCCTCTCCTAGGTCTCTGCCTGGAAAGTAGGTGGGTGAGCTTCTAAAACTTTTTTCATTGGTCTGATAGGTGACTTGCCCCAACACCTTCAAGTAATGATCAATCTTCTGCGATGTGAAGACAGAATCAAGCTGGTAAGAAGAGACGAGAGTGGCAAGTTTGAATTTTTAATTGTGAAATTTAGTAGGGAATTATGAGCAGTGGGTATGGTGGAGGGTGGGGTATGAGTTCCGAGTTTTAAAAATTCTCCCAAATTGTTCACAAAAGCCGAAGTGAAGTTTGCTCCTCAGCACCCAGAAGGCCCAGAGAAAGGAGTGTCAGGGCCTCGTATCAGTCTGTGCTAAGTCGGCATCTTCATTCTCTGGATGCTATTATCCAGCCATTTAACAAACTTGGGGAGGGGGTCTCCTTTGAGCCGGGCACCATCCTTCTTGTTGGGGGTATAAGAGAGATGTGGCTCCCGTGTATAAGAATCTCATCTTGATTCCTAAACTCACAGGGGGAAAGAAAGGTAGAAAACAGAAGCCCTTGACCTTGGTTGGGCGAGGGAGGGGGGCCCTCGCTGGAGAGGCAGCCGGTGAGAGCATCTCTGCCTGCACAGGCCGTGCGCCTGGAGAGCGCCTGGGCGGAGCGGGTGCGGTACATGGTGGTGGTGGACAGCAGCGGGCGGCAGGACACAGAGGAGAGCATCCTGCTGGGCGTCGACTTTTCCAGTAAGGAAAGGTGAGTCTGACGGGACTGCGGTATGCATGGTCCCATACCTTGGGAGGTGACGGTGGGGTGGGTGATGGCAGGTGGTGGGGTGACCGGGCACCACAGAGCATGGCATCTCAGCTCTGTCATGCGGGTGCTGTGCTAGATCCAGCCTCTGCTCTCAGAGCTCAGGGTCTGCTGAGAGGACAGGAAAGTTACACTGTGCGTGGAGCTCTAACACTGGGTGCTATTGGCGGTGCTCTGGAAAGGGCACCTTAGCCTGGAGGGCTCCCTGAAGGAGGTGATGGCTGTGGTGAACATCCAGGTAGAAGCAGGAACCAGCCCAGTGAAGCAGGGAGGATGCCATCCAGGCAGACCGGCCCACGTAAGAAGTGTGTGTTTGATGGGCAGCGCATCAAGTGCCTCATCCAGTATTGCTGTCCCGAGGATTCCCAAGCACTGGCCAACAGGTCCCGGGTCAGAGAGGTTTGGAATTTCCCAATAACTAGAGGCCAAGTTCGGGATATCATAGATCCTATTATTTTTGTGAAATGAAGGCAAGTGGTTCTTCTTACCTCTAGGATAAGGTAATGCATGTGAGACCATTGCAAAGCCTAGATTTGTTAAAACCAGATTAAGGGGACTCCCTTTAATCATCATTCATTAATCTGCTTATTCATTAAGCAAACAATTTTTTTTTCATTCTCCTGTGTATGAGACAATAGGCCAGGCGCAGGTAAACAGAGCACCAGCACACACGGTTTTGGCCTCAGAGAGCCTGTAAGCTCCGTGAGGAAGAAGAGAGCCATGATCAGAGATGCCAGCTGGTGGGCTCAGTGATACAGAGACACATGGGGGGTACTGGGGACACAGGAGAGGGGTGGCTGTAAAGGGGCCATGCCAAAGGCTGCTGGGGCATGTGGTGGCTAAGCCATGTCTTAAAGGACAAGTGGGCAGTTGGGCACATTCAGGGGTAGGGACGTGTCAGTTGGGGACCTCCTTGCCTCGCCCTTGCAACGATACAGCCACGAAGCTCCAGGAGCTCTGAGTCTCAAAATAAGTTCTGTTTTGCAGCTCTGCAAAGGAAATAGAGTTAGTTCATCAAGAACAGGCAGGACTGCAGGGTCGGACCTGAGAAGTGGCCTAACCCAAAAGGCTTAGTCTACTTCTACCTGAAGGACTTAAAACTCCCTTCCCCACAGACACAGAAGCCGAGGGTGGGAGAGCCCGGCGTGGTTGCAGATGCTCTGCGAACCCAGGCGCCTTGGCTGCACAGCTGCACACTCGTAACATTATTCCCTGGGCGGCTGTGCAGCAGTAGCAGAGATGTAAGTGGGAGATCCCCAGAGGTCAGTGGCGCTGGTCTTGGCTCAGTGACAATGGTTTCTCACAAGCTGATTCTTTCAACTGCCTGAAGAATGTTTGCAATAACCTGAGGAGCCCCACTGATAAAGCCCTTTCATTCCCTCCGTGTGTTTCAGCGGCGCCAGTCTCTAAAGTATCATTTCACAGTGAGGATGGGCAAAACAAAAGCAGATGAAACTAGTTCTTAAAACAGCAGCTGCACAGAAGGTACAGAAATAGAGGTCTCGCACTGTACTCCAGTAATGGTGCTGGCACCCTCCCCTCCTTCACCTCAGGACCAGAGGCTGGGTCGGCTGCCACCACTCACCCGTGTCCCCCAGTGCGTGTGGCCTTGTGCCCAGAGTGCACCAGCTGTCAGCGACTTCACCCCTGCTGCATGGAGGTCATGTGGTCAGCTGGTTGCTCCTTGTCCCCTGGGAGCTGCAGCTGAGTCCTGGTGTTTATGGAGTTGAGGGCTGAGTCCTGCCCTCACACCGGATGGTGGGGTCAGAGCCCCCTGTGACTGTCTCTGAGAAGGGGTCACTGGCAGCTCCCTGTAGCGGGCCATCTCAGATGTGTCTTCTAGAGTTCAGGGGTGAGCAGTGCCTGCAGAGCTTCTCCCAGATAATACCCAGCAGCCAGACCCAGGTCAGGGGCCAGTCCCCTCTGTGATCTGGGTGGGCTGGGTAAGACGCAGGGAAGTGTGGGTAAGCAGGGGACTCCAACACCAGGAGGCTTCTCTTTCCTTCCGCACAGTAAAAGCTGTACCATTGGGATGGTTCTCCGACTGTGGAGTGACACGAAAATCCACCTCGATGGCGATGGGTAAGCTGATCCTCTTGAAAGGTCCTTTTCGTCACTATAAACTCTGAAACGTGAGTAGGTTTGAACATCACTGGGTAATCGTTAGCAATAGAATCACGTGCATGACATGTTTATTGCATCAGGAGAAGCAATATTGCCCTCTAGGGAGCCACACAAGGTGAGGGGCATTCTGGGCGGTACGCAAAGGAGTTTGGGTCGTGAACTAGCAGTGGAAGCATATTACAGGAGATCGCTGCTGTGTGAAGTTCAAGAGCAGCAGAAAACTGACATTCATTCGTTTGCCATGATGTGGTAAATGAACACTCAGGACATGCCCTCTATGTGGGGCTGGTCCCCGAAAGTTCACAGAGAAACAGGACAGCCCAGGAGCTCACAGTCTCCGTGGGTGCAGGGAAGGACATGCAGCAACGGGCACAGCAGTGTTCCGAGGGCGGCGTAGGGGCTGGTCCTGGGCCGGTGGACGAGAGGAAGGCCCATCAGGTTCTGCATACGTTTGTCCCCAGCAGAGATGCGTGGGTTCTGCGGTGGGTGGAAAGAAGCAGGATCGGAAATCATCCCCACTGGGATTCCAGCAGTAAAAGTTATGCTGCCCCATAGGTAGATCTGGGAGAAAGAAATAAAAATTTGATTTCTTGAAGACGTAGAATTATGGTAACATTTTTTCTTTTTAAAATTTTGCCTTCCATTAATACATTTTTCAGTGCAATTCCCAAACAAACAAACCCCAGGCTGATGGGAGGTGTGGGGTGGAGCGTGGCAGGTGGGTTGGGGCTGCTGCAAGAGCACAGATGAGACCGTGTCAGAAGCTGCCACGGCCTCAGTTTTTGTAGGCTTCGCGTTGCTGGGTTAGAAACAAGCCTTCTAGGATTGGGGACCTCTGTTTTTTTCCCCTTGCTTTGCCCCTGTCTGACGCAGCTGGCCTGTAGTCCCTCATCTGACAGCACGAGACACACTTGTCCTCAGAGCGTCCCCAGCAGGCCTGCCCCCGTTGTCCCACAGTGGTGTGGGTAGAGGGTCTGTCTTCTCACCGCGATGTCTTTTTGTTGCTGTTGTTCACTCCTAGTGGATTCAGCGTCAGCACAGCAGGAAGGATGCACGTCTTCAAGCCCGTGTCGGTCCAGGCCATGTGGTGAGTATGGTTTTAGGGGCTTTTATTTAACACCTGAGAAATAGTTTCCAACGTGACGGCATGACAGAAAAACCCCTTCCACCGAAAAGCCCATGTAGGCACATCTGTTTTGCATGTATGACAAGCGATACATAACAAGCTTGACCGTCTCAACCATTTTTAAGTGCAGAGTTCAGTGGCGTTAGGACGCACACAGTGTTGTACAGTGGGCACCACCGTCCACCCCCAGGACTTTGCCGTCACCCCGGACGGAACCTCTGTCCCCATCACTAAACACTAACCCCCCAAGCCCTCTCTCCAGCCCCTGGTAACCCGTTCTCCTGTGTCTCTGTGAATCTGCCTGTTCATGTCTCTCGTGTGAGGGGACCGCTTGACCTCCTGTGTCTGGCACCTGTCACTGAGCGTGATGCTTTCCGGGCTCATCCGTGCTGTGGCATGTATGAGAACTTTGTTCCTTTTCACGGCTAAGTGACAGTCGTCATGTGGACAGGACGTGTTCAGTTTATCCGTGTTTGTTGATGGGCTCCTGAGTTGTAATGCCCTTTGGCTGTTGTGAGTGGGGCTGCTGTGAGCTCTGGCAGGCAAAGTACCGGTCTGAGTCCCCGCTTTCGCTTCCTTCCGGTTTACACCTAGAAGTGGAATTTCTAGGTCACGGGGTAGTTTCACATTTAATGTTTTAAGGAGCCACCAATCCCACCAGCAATGCGCAGGATTCCAGTTTCTCTGCGTCCTGGTCAGCACTTGTGATTTTCTGTTGTTTTGCATACTCGCCGCTGATGGATGGAGGGTGGTTTCTCATTATGGTCGGGACTTGCACCTCCCTAATGAATAAACGCTGAGCATCACTGGATGCGCTCATTGGCCGTTTGTGTTCCTTCTTCGGGGCAGTGTCTGTGGTGTCCCTGGGCCACTCTTCAAGGTGGCTGGTTTCCGCCGGGGAAGGCAGGCTGTTTCTGCAGGTGTCCTTCCTCCTGACGAGGCTCGCTGTGCCTGGCATGCGGCGGGCGTTCACTTCTCTCTCCTTGGTGCCGAGCATCTCGGACAGAATTCCTGGCCACACGGAGTTTCGAGTCTGTAGGGGGACGTGGCCATAAGCACAGAATTCCTCTGTCACTCCGCTCTGTAGTCAGTTCAGGATCGTTTTGGGGAGAATCATGAAATTGTAATTTTCTAGATGTCCCAGCTGTTTCTTTGTATCCCTGGGTGATTTTTTAAAATCTCTTTCTCTACAGGCAAGTGAAAAATAGCCCCATGTGCTTTTCCAAAACTTTTGAACCGGAAGTAAACTTAGTATATAGCTCAGGTATCGCCACCAGCCTAGACAGTGGAGCGGCGCGTGCCTCCGGGAGAGGTGACGTGGGCCGCAGTGGTCCGTGGGCCGTCATAGGCCTGCTCCCTGATAGCTGCCCCCCGACCCGGGGCCACACTCTCCCACCCCTCAGCAATGTCTGATTCACCCCGTTCGCTGAGAAATTTCCAACCCCTATTTTTGTTAAAAGAAGTAAAACAAGAATGACTCCATTGACCGTTAACGATAAACATTTGTAATGTTGTCCCTCCTGTCCACCGCCTTCCAGAGCCCCTTCTACTGCCGGCCTCTGTACTGACTTTCTAGACCTCATTTCCTTAGGAATCTGAGCGTTGGAGCGAGGCTGGGAGGGGTGGAAATGACTCGATGAGCCTTCAGTGAACTGTCTCCACTGCACAGCCACGGCTCGTTCCCTCCAGCGGCTGGGCCTAACCCTGGTTCCTGCGTTCATGACCACCATGGCCTCAGAAGTGAATCTTACTAATCCTTGGGAGTTAATCAGTGCGCTGTTGGATGCAGTGTGAGCCAGCCTGACAGGAAGAGTTAGGAAGTTTTTGTTTCCTGTTGGGAATGGTGGGGGACGTTCCATCTGCTCTTGGGTCAGTGCGCACGTCACGGAGACGGATGTGTTACCCAGCAGGCCGGCGTCCCCACCAGCCGGTCCTTCGTGACCGGCCTTCCCTGCCCCATTAAAAAACCCCTTTGTCCGAGGGAGGACCCAGCACCCCTGCCTCCCAGGCCTGACCCGCTGCCCCCCCTCACCCAGGTCCGCCCTGCAGGTCCTGCACAAGGCCTGCGAAGTGGCCCGAAGGCACAACTACTTCCCCGGGGGCGTGGCCCTGGTCTGGGCCGGCTACTACGAGAGCTGCGTGGGCTCCGAGCAGAGCTGCATCAACGAGTGGAACGCCATGCAGGACCTGGAGTCCACGCGGCCCGACTCCCCAGCGCTGTTTGTGGACAAGTGAGTGCGGCTCCTCCTCCCCGCCCCCAGGGCTGCCCCTCCCAGAACCAGCCTTTCAGGCAGAGATTCCTGACCTGTGGCCTGTGGGTGGCCTTTGGCCAGGGGAAGGGTCTGTGACCACCACCCCCCTTTAGAAATTCACATCAGGAGTGAATGCATTTCTGGGGAGCGGCTCCCTAGCTTCCATCAAATCTCAAAAGAAGCGTGTGGCCCACCTGCGTCACCCGCTCCTGGGCAGGGCTCCGTTACCGTACACTTGACTTTAAAGCCTCTTTCTCTACCCTTTATTTTGTTTAACTTTAATTTTTCAGTGATGGTTGACGTTCAGTGTTATTTTATATTAGTTTCAGGTATATGGCATTGTGATTAGACATTGAGTGACATAACCCCTCTGACATCCCCAGTGCCCACCTGGTGCTATACGTGGCTGTTACAATGCCTTTGACCATATTCCTGTGCCGGACTTTGTAACCCTGTGACTACATCGTGACTGCCAATCTGCCCTTCTCAGGCCCTTCACCTTTGTCGCCTGGACTCCCAACCCCCCTCTCATCCAGCAACCTCTTAGTGAATGCGACATCCACTTCTTTGGGTCCCAAAACACAACTGCACCCACACAGGCCAAGGGCAGCCTCATAGGCAGCAAGAGCGAGTTGCGTGGCCTGTGACACATGGCTACCAGCAGCGCTCGTGTGGCCACAGGCTGCACCGCATTGAAACCTGGTTCCAGAAGAGGGAAGCGGCCCGCCCTTTCTCTCTGTCAGGCCCCTTCTCCACAGTGTCGGGGGGGACACTGTGCCTAAGGGGCCTGTGCACAGGGGAGCAGCCTGAGTGAGGACACTCCAGGGCCTTGTTACATGGCACCGCATGGAATTTGTGAGAGGGCCGGGGAGAAGCGACAGCTGCTTTTGGACCAATGAGGGGCATGGTGTCACAGCAGGATTCGCCTGGTTCGTGTGGACCCTACATGGGGAACCAGGGTCGACGTAGGGAAGTTACAGGGAAATACATAGATTTCGGTGCCGTGTGAGGAGATCCTGGGATCTGCCCACAGATCCCGTGGGCGGACTCAGGACTCAGCCGTGTCCTCAGCAGAGACTGAAGGACTTCGTGGTGTGGGGATGGTACGTGGTGTTTCCAGCATCCTGCCCTGAGAGCCCAGTGCTCTGCAGGACCTGAGCGAGGAGGGCGCCTCCCAGCCCCTCCGGGCCCCCTCCATCTGCTCCACTCTTGACTCCCCTGTGAGTTCTGGACACAGAGCAGGTCTTCTTCGTCCCTCTCTGCCACCTGCTGAGGACACGCAGGCCAAGAAAACTTGGACCTCAGTCTTCCTATAGTTCTGCACTTTGCTGATTTCTCTCCAGGCCGACTGAAAGGGAAAGGACCGAGCGCCTCATCAAAGCCAAACTCCGGAGCATCATGATGAGCCAAGACCTAGAAAATGTGACCTCCAAAGAAGTAAGAGAACTCTACCTTTCTCCGCAGGCCAGAGGTCATTCCCCTGTCCGGTTGCACAGACCTGGTCTTCTCCACCAATCAGTGCACTAGCTCTTGGTGGCTTTTTCCTGCAGGATTTGCAAAAAGAGTACAGGCCTTAGGGTCAGACTGCAGTTTGAACCTAGCTCTGCTTAGCCCTATGGGGCTTGGGCAGATTTCCTGGGCCCTCTGAACCTATAAGGCCTTTAGTGAGAAGGCCCCAGGTCTCTGCGTAGACTGCCCCAACAAGCCTTTACCTGTTAGCACCCTCTCTTCTGCTCCACCTCGCCTCACCGGTGAGTCGCGAACCCTGAGCTGCTTTCCTGCCACCTTTTGATGTTTCTCTGGATCTTATTTTTTCCTTTTCCAGTGGCTTTTCGTTCAAGGAATGCAGTGCATTTTAATAACAGTTTAAGCCAGGTAGATCTAAGAGGTCATTTTTAAAAGTTACTTACAATCTTTTTATTTAGTAATAGTCTGCACCGCATCATATTGTGGTGCCTTCCAAAGCAACACAAGACTGATTTTGGGTTTCACCATCATGTGTTTGATATTTAATTGTAAAGGCACAAGTGCTTTACACCCAGAAAAGGCCCCATGGGAGTCAGAGTTCTGACTTCAAACCGCAGACTGCCCCCACGTCAGACTGACGCAAGGCGGAGTAGCCTGCGTCCCTGCCACCCATGCCTGTGGGCCGCTGGTATCTAAATGCAGAAAACATGCTTTTTTAAAAAATAGCCACAGTTTGCGTTGTGACTTCACTTCTTGGAGGGCAACGACTGTTTTCTTTGACAAATCGCTTTTCCTGATGTATTCCACTCCACAGATCCGTAATGAATTGGAGAAACAGATGAACTGTAACTTGAAAGAATTCAAGGAATTCATAGACAATGAGATGCTTCTAATCTTGGGACAGATGGACAAGCCCTCCCTCATCTTCGATCATCTTTATCTCGTAAGAGGCACAGCGCACAGCAGGGTTTGGCTTGGGGAACATAAATTTGACCTTGATTGCTTAGAGCACATCGGAGAGGGGAGAGCTGGAGTTACAGGAGCCGTGATCCTGACTTGCACGGGACTCCCCTCCTCGCAGTTTGCTCTGGATCCGGACGCTTGCGCTGGGGCTCCCGGCCTGGCTGTGGGGAGCTGTGTGAAAGCTCTCTGGCCCAGTCAGTTGGCAGCCGTGTTCAGACCCTTGCCCCCTCCGCCTTCTTCCATCACTAACAGGCAAACCCCCTGCAGACACCTCTAAGTGGTCTGTGGGCTAAAACCCCCAGTTACTAAAGGGAGCATGCTCACCAAACCCCAGAGTCACGCCTATGAGAAACGGCAGGGAAGGCAAACCAGACGCCTGCAAGGCAGCCTCCCCTCTGCTTGTCCGGGCGGCCACTCCGTGCATGGCCCCCCGAGCTGTGGAAGGAGCAGGCCTCGGTGATGCAGCCCCCACTTCTTGCTCAGATTTTCTTAAAGCTGTAAATCTCCATAGAAGGCCACTGGCAAGATTTCAAAGTCAGAGAGACCGTGAGGAAGGCATGTTGCTAAAATTAGAGGCAGCGCAGCGTGGTAATGAACATCGGTCCCACCAGACCAAGCTCCCAGCCCCCAGTCGGACCGGCCGTGTGACTGGACACAGCTGGGACTGCGGGTCTCTGCCTCTTTATCCCCTCAACCTGGACCTCGTGGAATGATCGTGAGCAATCAGTAAAATACAGAGTTGAGGCATTTGGTGCACAAATAAATGGTAACCATCGGTGGAGCAGAAATCACTTCCTTGGGAAGTTAAGGAAGTGTATTTTTTTGCTTCAGAAAGCAGAAGGATTTTGTCCTCTGCCTGTGGGGAGTAATTAATAGTCCTCCAAATGCATGCGTCGTGATGGATATTTAATATGTTAAATGTATATTTAATTATGTATAGTTATCAGCCTCTACACGTTCAACGAATGTGCTCAAATATACGTAAGTATGTGGGTGTGAAGCCTGTGTCTTGAAAGCTGTGTGGCAGCCCCAGGCTCAGCTTCCCTCCGGGAAGTTGGTGGTTCTCCCGGGTGGAGACAGAACACGAGGCACCTCCGGCCCGTCTCCCCACTAGGTGGCGATCACGGCAAGAAGACACAGCGTTAGCGAAGCGCCAGTTATTTTTCAGTGTGGTTGGTGTTTTATGTCACTTTTTCCATGAGAGATACCAAAGGAATTTCTCTGCTTGAGCCTCTCCCTCCAGTACGAAGCCCCAGCTAGTACCCACACGTAGCCAGTCCCATCGGGGTCCCTGAAGCCCCTGCCTGCAGAGGGGTCTGCCCTCTGCGGAAAGGGAGTTGATAGGGAGACTGCGCAGGCTTTTTTGCTCTTTGGGGCTTACACGTTGTTTGCTTTCTCTAAGAGCAAAGTGATGGTTTTTCTTTGTTGTTTTTTCTTCCCCTCCGTGTTCTTTGGATACTGAGAAATGGAGGGCTTGTTTTCTTTAATACCATTTTTTAAGTATTAAAACATGTTATAGAAAATTAGGAAATATGAGTAAGTCTAAAGAAAAAAATTAAAGGCATTCCTAATTTCCCAAATCTAGAGGTAGTCTTAGTTAACGTTTTGGTATATTTATTTTTCTATCTTCTGGGTTTTTTAAATGCCTATGTAGCTTTTTTTTTTTTTAAGGAGAAGGGCCATACTGTTCGTGTTTGTGTCCTGCTTTATTTGCTTGTCGTTACGTGGCATTTCCCTGTGTCATTAAATGTCCTCGGAAAGGAGGAGTTACCGAAATGCTCCATCCCATGATCCGTCATCGTTTGTTTTACTGATTTCTCCTTGTTGGATCTTTGGGTTGTTTCCACTCTTGTGTTATTATAAATAACCTTAAATATCCTTCTCCATAAATCTCTGCAAATTCTGGGTATTTCCTCAGGGTAGCTGTTTGTGAGTGGAATTTCCGGGTCAGGGGGTGGGAGCCTTCGGAATATTGCCAGCACACTTCCCAGAAGAGGTAGAGTGGCTCCCGCGAGGGTGGCAGTGCCCTCTCCCGAGCGGGAGGGGGTCTCGCCTCCGGTGAGGGGACCCACTGGCGTCTCAGGAGAGGAAGTGGTGAGAGGGGCAGGTTTTCCTGGCCTTGCCCTTCCCCTGTTGTGCTGTCCACGCGGTGAGCGCTCGGATACCGGCCTCCGTCCGTTCTCTCTGCCCACCAAGGCCAGGGGCCGTGAAATCACCAGCAGGGCTAGCATCCCCAGAGCGGTCCGAGGCTGACACATGACACTCATGGGGGTTTGTGTGATCTGTCCCCCAGGGCTCTGAATGGAATGCGTCCAATCTGGAGGAACTGCAGGGCTCAGGGTGAGTCTGCTCCTCTTGTCTTCCCTTGTCCTCCTAGGTAGCTGAGACACCCTGGGCTCTGCCACGCAGGTTGAGCCCCGGGGCTACCTGCCTAGAGCGGCCTGCACCCTGGCAGCCAGGGTGATTTGCATAGCCAAACAGATGCGCTTTAGAAGGCCTCCTCCTGAATAATTCATGGTTTACATTTTCCTGGAGTTCGTGAGATGGTGTTGGTCCCAGAGAACAGTCCTAAATCACAGTCCCGAGGTATCGAGGTATCGACTGCCTGGATGCCGGTAGGGCCTCAAGCCCCTCCCCAACCCCACTGCCCGCAGAGCTGCCGAGAGTCCTGGTGTGGACACACCTGTCTGCTGGGCCACTCAGAAGCTCTGGTCCCCGGACCACTCCTGGTTCTAGCTGAACTCGTACTCTTGGACCTGGTGGGACTCTTGCAGCTAATATTCGGTGTTGGGCAGAAATCCATGCCCGTCATAGTCTGAGAATGGCCCGGTAGCAGGAATAACAAATGTTTAAATCTAGACCTTCAAGAACAGATGTCTGGACATTTTTTTTGAAAAAACTACACAGCCACAAAATCACCATTCTGTGGGTTTGACACGATGGCATCCTTGAATTACTGCATTCGAAAATCAAGACTAAACAACTCTTAAAATACATCTTTAGAACTACTGGTTAAGTTATGTTCTTTCAACCGAAAGCATTCTTAAAATGTAGGGTGACACTGTCTGCACTTTCTATTTTGCTGGAAATGAGTAAATCATTTTAAAGGTATTTCTGTCTAGAGCATTTATAGCTATTCACGTATGAAGTCTATTGGAGGCATTTTGAAACTCCTGGTCTTCCAGGGATATACATATTAATTTTAGAACGGACAAAACCTGGCTAGCAGACCCTCTCAACTCTTTACTTATTTATAGCCTTCCTTGTTTCAAAAAGGATGTAAAGCAGTTCCCAAGGACATAAATAATGGAAAGATATATTGTGCTGTTTAACTATTTAAAAGTGGAGACTTTGTTTTTCTTAAGGCTCCTGTGTGCATGTAGTAGTTTCGGATTTTGAAACTTTGAGAAAGTTGAAAATGTATTTAAGTAATATATGTATCCACTTTCCAGAATTAACATTGCTTGGCAGTGCTTTGAACTGTTTTTTTTAAAATAAGTTTTTATAAAGAAGTTTGTTTTATATTATAAATATAGTACGTTCCCATTGTAGGGCATTTAGAAAATATTTTTAAAAGTCGTTAAGGAAAAACAGAAGTCCCACCGTAAAAACATAAATCTTTTATTAATGTATATTTGATTTTTTTCTCTGTTCGGTTTTTTGTTACATTTTGTTTTGTAGTGTCTCATTCTGATTCTCCAGATTTGTTCTCTCTTTTTTTCCCCTCTCATTGCAGTGTTGACTACATTTTAAATGTCACTAGAGAAATAGATAATTTTTTCCCTGGCTTATTTGCATATCACAACATCCGAGTCTATGATGAAGAGACAACAGACCTCCTGGCCCACTGGAACGAAGCGTACCAGTTCATAAACAAAGCGAAGTAAGTGGGCAGGGGAGCCAGAGACACTGGTCTGAGGAAGACGCCGGCAGATGCTGGGTGGGCGGCGATGAATGGCAGTCCCAGACACGGGCACCTCCTGGCTTAGGGAGCCGTGGATGTCCGTGGTCCTCTGACTGGGGACCACAGGATCCCTAGCACCAGCAGGGCAAAGTTGCTGATCTCCAGGTTGGGCACGAATGAGCTTGTTCTCTTCCACCCGTCATTGACTGTGACACTTGACCCCAGTTTCATCATCAGCACGACTTCCGGTTAAGAATCCAGCACCACGTGGACACTCCTAGGAGCCTCTGAGCCAGAGGAGAGAGCAGGGAGGGCCACGCTGTGCTTAGCACACCTCTGGGACTGCTTCCCCGGGGGAGCAGACTCGGGCAGATGCCCCGAGCCGAGGCCTGCCCGCTCCACCTGAGTCAGCACGGTTTTCCTGGGCGAGCAGAATGGGACAGACCGGGAGCCTCTCCCTGGTTTCACCCAGCCTCTGTGCTCCCTTTATTCTCCTACAGAACGACTCTGTCTTACTGCAGGCAGGGTCAGAAAGAGAGAAGCCTTCGAGGCCCCATCTTCTACTTTGCACCCCACCCCTCCAGGTCAAAGCTCCATGACTGACCTGTCCTGGTTACCACCGTGTCCTCACCACCATGACCTCATAGTTTGATTGCATGCTCTAGGAAAGACTTCAGACCAAGAGTCCAAAAAAAAAAAAAAAGGCACTGAGATTTGGTGACTTTAAGCCTGAAGTAGGGGACAGGAGTCTGCTTGCACCTGGCAGGCTGGCTACTTCTAATGTAAATAGGCAGGTGGGCTCACCTCCTGTACAAATAAAGCCTGCCAGGTGCTGCGCCTTCCAACCCGGTGTTCCCTTGCATTCTTGAGCAAGTGCTACTTAGAGAAACACTGCGTCTGGCCTTGCTGGGTCTGTTGAATCAGCCACGCCTGGGCCAGCACTGCCTCCTCACAACCTCGGGCCCCACCCTCCTGTGGCTTCTTTCTGTCTTGGCCAAGTTGGCGGTGCTGCTGCCCTCACCCTGGCTCCTTGACACTCCTGTCTCCCGAGGGCCTTGTGGCTTCCGGTTCTCTGACCCCATTTTTCTGCAGAAACCCATTCCCTGTCTCCATCTGTTCCAGCTGCCGAGTTATCTTTTGCAGATCTCCCTTTTGCTGCCCATTTGCTTCCCACAAAAAGGGGTTTTGGCCTCCTAGCCTATCCCAGCAGTGTGGGAAGATCCCCACTTTGTCCCTGAAGGCAGCCCGATCTTGGAGCTCTCCCTGCAAAACTTGGCTGGGCAAGGACAGGTTGATCTCGGTTTCCCATTGTGTACTAATTGATTTCGCAGTGAAGTTACTTCCTTTCGAGGGTGGGTGAGCACACGCTGCATAAACATCGGGACCAGGAAGATTTGGGCAATGACATAACTTCGGGGTTTAAAACTGCTCGTTGAGTAAAACCCGAGAGAATGAAGTTAAGCTTCTTAAAACCTCACCCCCCTTCCCCAGGCGGAACCATTCCAAGTGCCTGGTGCACTGCAAAATGGGAGTCAGTCGATCCGCTTCCACAGTCATAGCCTACGCGATGAAGGAATTCGGCTGGCCCCTGGAGAAAGCGTACAACTACGTGAAGCAAAAGCGCAGCATCGCACGGCCCAATGCAGGCTTTATGAGACAGCTGTCTGAGTACGAAGGCATCTTGGACGCAAGGTGGGTGACTGACTGCGGAGGGTTGGCAGGACCCAGCTCCAGAAGCCGCCGTCTGCGTCTCGCAGCGGCTTCCACAGCCAGAACCCTGACTCGGGGGGAGGGCGAGGGAGACCAGTTTGAGAAAAACAACTATTGTTTGGCATTTGATGAGTGGTTTCCAGGAGTGATCCGTTCCGATTTTGTGGGCACACTCAGCTGTTTGGCTGCGGGAGGGAACGGTGCCTGACTTCTAACCTGAGGCAGGACTCCGCGTGCGGCACGGGTGTGTGGGTGCCCCGTTTCCTGAGCATCTGCTTCGGGCCGAGCGCTGCGCCAGGCCTGGCCGCAGGGCAGTTCCCAGGACTGCAGAGGCAGACCAGGGCCCCACACTGACCAGCTGGGCAACCTAGGGCACGCTTGTCACTCTCCCCAGCCTCCCTCTTCTCTGAGTTAAACACCAACACCCGCTTGGTCGGGTGTTTGCGAGATGTGTATGAATGCCGAACAGGTTTACCTGTACACGACTTTGCTGGACTGGCTTCCTAGTAAAAATGGTGTCGTTTTTTATACATTTCTAAGCCCCACCTGAAAAGGTTTGCAAAGTACAGGTTGTTCCCCGTTAGGCGGGCATAGAGGGCCGGCGCAGGAGGTGGACTTGTCCCACGTCACACAGCCACTGGAAGGCAGAGCAGAGCACGTGCCCGGGTCTGCGGCCTCCAAGTCAGGGCTGAGGTTCTCCTGCCTCACGGGGAAGGGTCCTCAGTCACCCCAGGAAGATCCGTGCTGGGCTCCGACACTCATTCCTCCCTCTTCCTGTCCTGTTCAGTCTGTAGGAGGCCTGCTGGGTTCTTTCTGACTGGCACTGTGAGGGAGCCCCGGGCTAAGTCTTGTCCTCCTGACCATGTTTGGGGAAGCAGGAACACCCTGGCACTCGGCCAGGGTCCCGAGGACAGCTCCAGACATCTCACTGTCAACCACAGAGTGGCCGGACAGACCCCCAGGGCCGAGGGGGAGGAGTGTGGGCCCCTTAGGCCTTTCAGTCATGCACTCCCATCATGCCCTCGTAGCCTACCCAGGGCTTTCCAGGCTGGGTTCGCCACTGCCCAGCACTGACCTTGCTCCGCAGCCCCATCGAGGGCCTGCTTGGCCTCACCTGAAACATGCACGGGAAACAAAGTCGTGAATGATCACAACACTCTCATTGGACCACAGCAGCAGCTCCTTAATTCACACTTAATTCTCTCTCATCCTAACCGTCACCACCCCCTGGTATTGGTATTGCCCTAAGGAGGTGACTTGTGTACCTTATTTCACCCTAAGCCTTTCTCTTTTCTTTTTACCTTTGTTTGAAAAATGTGCTCTAAAAACAACACCATGGTATTAGAAGACATATCTTAAAACTGACTTGTAATCTCTGTGACCAAACATTGGCAGTTTTGTGGAGTCTTCCCAGTTCTATCCGTGTGTGTTATGTGCGTGCAGTGCTGTGGTAGTGTAGTATATATGCGTGAAAACTTCGTATTGACAGATGGAGAAACCAAGAGACGGAACACTAAGTGGCATGGCTGGTGGGAGGTGGAACACCAGGGTCACGGTAGCATTTCAGGTCCAGCCCCCTGTCACATGCCTGCCACACCGTCAGCACGTGATGGAAAGCCGTGTAAGGCTTCCTTTGAGGGTCACGATGATTTTGGGTTCCAGTGTTGTTTCTCTCATTCTTTCATTTCTCGGGGACCAATGAACAGAGAGAGGCTGTACCTAAGTGAGCCCCCAGCATCCGCCCGAGCCTGGGCTGCCCCTTGCTGGCTCGCCCCCTACCCCTCTTCCCAGAAGCCTCGGGGCACTGGCCCCCGATGACCTTCCTCTGCCCTTCCTCCCCCAGCAAACAAAGGCACAACAAGCTGTGGCGCCAGCAGACTGAAAGCTGCCTCCAGCAGCCTACGGATGACCTTGTGGGGTCTGCCGACTTCTTGTCGGAGACCCTGGATGACGCCCCAGAAGCCCGGCTGCCCTGCTTGGATGCTGCTGCTCAGCCTGCGTTCCCAGGCAGCGGGGCCCCAGGAGGGCGGGGGCCCTCTCTCTCCTGCTGTTTCCGGCGGCTCTCGGACCCCCTCCTGCATTCCCCCAACGACGAAGTGGGCAGTTTGGTCCAGCTGGAGGACCTGGAGAAGGACGCTCTGTCAGAGGAAGCCACTCAGCCAGCAGAGGAGGTGCACAAGCCAGCCAGGCCTCCCCAGGGAGGCCCAGGGCTCCGTGAGAAGGAGGCGCAGAAGAAGCCCGAGTCTGGGAGCCCGAAAGCCCAGCGGGGGCCCTCGCCCCAGGTAGAGGAGATGGAGAGGGAGGAGACTCCAGGAGTAGGGAGGTGGGGAAGGTCCCCACCCCAGCTTGATAAAAACCTGCTCAACCGGGAAAACCTAAATAACAACAACAGCAAGAGGAGCTGTCCAGACGACTTCGAGGTAGGTGTGGCACCGGCAGCGTGGGGGGCATCACCCTCCGGGTCACGTCACTTCCGCCTGCTGCCACAAGGAGCAGCCCCTCCCAGTCACCTCTGCTCCTTCCTCCTGCCAGTGGGGCAGTTCTCACCCCGGACCTGTGGGTTTGTTTCAGGGAGCGATCCCGCAGGCCAACTGGGAATTCGGACATACAGGGGAAGGGGGTCTACCGGGGACAGCACCGACCCTCTGGCCCTCTCCACCCCACACACCACATCCACTTTTCGGGCAGGGCTTTCAGTTCCTTCTTTTTCTTTATGTTAAAGTAAAACATACACTTTATCACCCTGCTTCAACATTTCTCAGTATGCGGCTATTCTTAGTTCATTGCACCCCCAACCCACTTTCTTGCACCCTGGGTTTGAAACATCCCAGACAACATCGTTCCGTTCACCAATGCTGCCGTATGCGACGTATCCACAGCACCATTGCCATCCTTAAGAACTTGGTAGCAATTCCCCAACATCATCAAATGTCTAGATTTGAACTCAGAATCCGATGCCAAACTCCATTAGCCCCATGTAACTGTCATACCCGGTGGGTTGTCTGCAGTGAGGTTTTATCCTCAGCCTGGCAGGCGAATGCAGACAACCATGAATTGTCCAGCCTTTTCCCTCTTCTGAGTGGCCCCGTTTTACACCCCACTTCATCTGCTTATTCATTCGCTGTCTTGAGTGAGGCTGGTTCTGTGGGGCACCCTGCCCACACCCTGGGCTTGGCTCACGTGGCCTGGGCGCACAGCCTCATTCCCTGGGGCTTCACTGCCCGTCTCCCAGGGCTGCCGCGATTCTCACCTGAGAGAGAGCGCTCGACAAGCTGGCGGGCGTGTTCCCACATGCAGAGGGAGGGTCTGTCGCTGTTCAGTTATAATGCAGACCACCCCGGGGCAGTTCGGTCTACCAGCCTCCAAATCATAAAACGTTTTGCAAGCAAAGTGTTAATAACTCATGAATTTCTCCCGTCCTTCCCTCAAAAAGCAAATACCGGAAAGATGGACGATATACAACTTCTTGGTCCAAGATCTTGGTGCCATGGGTGGTCTGCAGTGGCACAGCCACAAGTTGTAGAATGATGAACTCGGAGAAGCTTGGATAAGGGGGCAAATGAGGGACACAGTCCTCCTTTCCTGGCCAGAACCGGATTGAATAGGAGATCTCATCTAGAGAGTAGGATCTAGAGACGAGCATTCATTCACTTGTTCAACTCATGTTCATTGGCTGTGGCACCAGGTTGGTAGGGCGCACAGCTGTGAGTAAGATGGCTCAGTGCGCAGAGTCTTATGATGAACGGCAGGCATGTAAGGATGTAACACAGAAAACCACAGGTGGTTTTGGTTTGCGGAGGGAATGAGGAGGAGCTGGCCACGCAAAGGGCCGGGAGGACAATCTTCAGGCCCAGGGAGTGGCAGGTGCCAAGATGCTAGCTGAGAGCAGAGAGCTTGGCATGGTCTGAGGTGCGCTGGGACAGGTGGCCAGGTCCCACAGGGTCTCCAGGCACCATGGCAGGGCTCCTCTGTGCGTTGTTCCAGGGGCACTGGGAAGCTCCGGGAGGACTTGGAGCAGGGAGGGGAAGAGGCCCCCTGGTTGTGGTCCATCGGCAGGCTGATGGGGCGAGAGTGGAAGCAGCAACGGGAGGTGACGGTGGCTCAGAAGATGGGTGAGAACAGAAGTGCGGGGCTTGGGAGGCATTTGGAGGCAGAGCCCTTTGCCAGGAAGGTCTTTGTTTTAGACCAGCATAGGATTCTCTCAGCTCAACAGCTCGAGAGGGGAGTGTTCTCGCCACTGCCTCGTTTGCCTCTCTCAACTCCATCTCAGCGCAGCAGAGCAGCCCTGGTGCCTGTTGCTAGACACGGGGGAGGTGAACAAGGTTGGAGAGGCAGGCGGCTTCCTCGGGAAGCGATGCCAGTGTACTTTCCTTTGGTGTATAGAAGCCTCGTCAGCCTGGCTCCCTCACAGGGCTGTGGGCGTACCTGTGTTTGGGTCCAAATGAGAGTCTTTCCAAACCCGCTTTTCCCCTTTGCCACCTCCCTGTTCAGAACACAGCTCGATGATCGTTCTTTGGAGCCGTGCTGTGTTCGCACTGCAGGGACACCTCTCATTGCCAGGCTGCAGGTTCCCCAAACGCAGATTCTGAAACAGAAAGAAAGGCAGAGGCACCTGCTGTGCTAGAAACGTTCCATTAATTCTCACGGTGCCACAAAGTCATAGTTACTCTGCATTCCAGATGAGACCAAGATTCAGAAAAGGATCACTTCATGCACATGGCAGGGGCAGGCGTGAGAAGAGAGGCCCTGGCGGCCCTGCCTGCTGTGTGGCCAAAGGTTTGCTCAGGACCGTGGGCACGCAGCTTCTGGAAAGTTCGGTCCAGCATCTCTAACCCACACCAGACACGGTCCAGTGCATTTGGACAGGTCTCTTTCTGCACTCACTGATGTGAGAGCACTGCCTCCCCAGTGCCCCCCCAGCCCACCCCTCACCCTCCTCGGATTTTGTCGTCTTTGGCTCCTGTTGTGCCCTCACAACATTCTTGTCCCCTTGCAGCACGATGCTATATTTGGGATCCTCAGCAAAGTGAAGCCCTCCTACAAATCCTGTGCTGACTGCATGTACCCGACAGCCAGTGGGGCTCCTGAGGCCTTCCGGGAGCGACGCGGGAACACTGGCGCACCCGCCATCTGCACTCAGCCAACCTTCCTGCCCCACCTCACGTCGTCTCCTGTGGCTCACACATCCGTCAGGTCCCGCGTTCTGGAGAAGCTGGCCTCTGGCCCAACTGAAACGCCCCCGTTCCTACCACCAGCAAGCCCCAGGAGGCCAGACACCAGTGGCTCTGGGGCTAGAGTTGCCCCAGAACTAACAGCTAGCCTTTTGGAACCTTCCAGAGAGACCCAAAAAGTCCTGCCAAAGTCCCTCCTTCTGAAGAATTCTCACTGTGATAAGATCCCTCCCAGCATGGAGGTGGTAAAGGAAGAATCACCGCCCAAAAAAGATGTGAAGCCGGCCAAGGACCTGCGTCTGCTGTTCAGTAAAGAGGCCGAGAGGCCGACCACACACAGCTACCTGATGCAGCACCAGGAGTCCATCATGCAGCTGCAGAAGGCAGGCTTGGTCCGCAAGCACACCAAAGAACTGGAGAGGCTAAAGGGCACGGCCGCAGAGCCAGCGTCCCCCTTCAGGGACGGCGCCAGCAGGCTGGAGGCCAGCATCCCCGAGGAGAACCAGGACCCTGCTCCTGTCCCTGCCCCAGGGGCCCTGGCTCTGCCTGGCCAGGACGGGAGTGACGAGAAGTCAGAGGCCACCCCTGTTCCACTCGAGGGAGCCTCGCTGAAGAGCCCCAGTCCCTTCCTCTGCCGCCTGGATCACACCAGCCACTTCTCGAAAGACTTCCTGAAGACCATCTGCTACACCCCCACCTCGTCCTCCATGAGCTCCAACCTGACCCGCAGCTCGAGCAGTGACAGCATCCACAGCGTTCGTGGGAAGCCAGGGCTGGTGAAGCAGCGGACCCAGGAGATCGAGACTCGGCTCCGGCTCGCGGGACTCACCGTCTCGTCCCCACTCAAGCGCTCACACTCTCTTGCCAAGCTCGGAAGTCTCAACTTCTCCACAGAAGACCTAGCCAGCGAGGCTGACGTGTCCACCATTGTTGACTCCCAGGATGCCAAGTTGAGCGAGGCCGCCTTTCTGCATGAGCCCCGGGCAACCCCCGGGCACCCAGCCGCCACCTCTAAACCATCAGGGAACTCTGCCCCAGAAAACTTGAAAAGCCCCTCGAGGCTGAGCAAAAGCTGACCCGCCTCTAGCCCATCACATGAACCCTTAGTTTCACTGTGGGTTTTGGCTGGCCCTTCACATCTTGATTTCTCTTAAAGGATGGTGTTCTAACTCCCCGCCCCCACCTTGCCAGAGGGGAGGAGAAGAAAAAAGCTCGCAGCCCAAGAAGAAGGGAGTGTCCGTTGTGTGGCTGGGAGAACCAGAAGCTGTCAGCCAGCAGGCTCTGAGCCCAGGTCATGGGTTTTCCAGAATCGTGTCTGCAGAAGAACACAGATAGATATGCACGCACATCAAAAGTACTCCATTTGCAACACGCGCGAGAACAGTCACGGTGATGGCCTCTGAACCGTGGCGCGCGTTCTGAGCTCGTTCAGGCCCTCATGGGGAAAATCTTGGGTGGCAATATAAGTCCTACCTCTGTTCTCGCTGAGCTTTTTATTTTTAAAACACACTGATGAGCAAGGCTCATTCCAGGGAATAATGCTATGTCAGAAACAGGTTTTCCAAAAAGGAGGGTTGTTTTGTTTTGTTTTGTTTTGTTTTCATTTGGGACCCCCAAAAGTGTTAGGATTTCTGATTCAACTACACCTGCTGTCGTTGGGCCAGCTCCGTGGCACCTGGAGATCATCCGTTCGGCAGACTTGTCCGTCCCAGCCGTCTGTCGTCACGGCTGAGTGGTGTGTCTGGCCCATGCTAGGGTCTGGTGGGGGGGGATGTGTATGATGTCCTCCGCTGTTGCTCATGGGGGACTTTAAGTGGCCCCCCCGCATGGGGGGAAGGGCCCACAGAGCACTGCTGAGTCTCCTCTGCTGTCGAGCCCAGTAGCTGTGAAGAGTTGCAAAGGCACCTCGTGGTGGCCGTCGTCTTGAGATGCAGGTCATCCAGAAGCCCCAGCACTCAGGATGGCTTGGTTACATCTACTTGTATTTGGGGAAGAAAAGTAAAATCGAGCAGTGGGAAATGATCGGTTCCGCTCCAAGAGCGACTGAGCAGGAGCTTCTCCGAGAGAAATGCCGCTGGCGAAAAGCTTCACAGACGTTTACAGTCGCCGCTCTCTGTGCAGGGAGCGCCGCCGCCTGTCTCGCTCTGGCTGTTCCGAGTGGCAGAGGTGGGGCCCAGGGGGGCCTGCGGACCCAGCCTGGGCTCTGCGAGTGGCTCCATTAGAATCAGGTGGGCTCAGTGCGTCACGTTGCCGAGGGCTCTAGACTCAAGTGAACGGTCCTCTGGTGTCAGTCAGTAAGGCGGGATGTTAAAATATTTCGAGAAGAGCGAAGGGGCTTGATTAGAAAGGTTTATTTGGGGGTCAGCAAACTGTGGTATGTGCTCTCATGAACTAAGAATGGTTTTTACATTTTTTCAGGGGTTGTAAGAAAAAGAAACTAATAGGCAACAAAGGCCACAGAGCCTGCCAAGCCTAAGATGTTTATCAGGCCCTGTGTAGAAAAAGTTTGCTGACCCCTGGTCTTAGTCAATAGCACAGGGCTGTCCAGGGCCCCCTACAAAGAACCTGGGCAAATGTGAAGGCCTCCCTGCCGCTAGACACCTCAAGCCCAATCCACCTCCTGACCCTGACCTTGCCAGCCTACCCACAGCTGTCTCCTGCAGGGTGGCCAGCTCTGTCCGTGGGGAAACCCTCCTGGCTGAAGCTTATCCGCAGGGGCAGCTCCCCCTCAGCAGGGTCAGCCAGATTAAGTCAGTGAAAGTGGACAGCCTCCAGGGGCCAGCCGGGTTCTCACAGTGGGGGCACGGGCTGCCGTCTTCCATTAGTCTGAAAGGACCCCCGACAGCCGCCGCCGTGTGCAGGCCCGGGCAGGGTCTTCGGGACCATGTTCACCTAATGCGAGAGTTTTGGGGAAAAGCCCTCTTTCCAGGAACTTTCTCTCCCTGACCTTATCCTTTTCATTTTTAGACATATATGTTATTTTACTTTGTAGGAATTTGTTTTCCCACCACTGTTAATTGAAATCACATTAAAAGGTGATTACTCACTTTTCTTGAAAACTCTGTTAGGTTTTTCTCCCTCTCTCTCAGCCAACTAAAGCATATTCTCCAAAAAAAAAAAAAATCCAGTTCAGTATGTTTTGCCAAATTAAATTTCATGTGGTGGATTAATTTTTGTGTCAAAATAATCCTTTAGATTTGGTGATGACAGGTTATGTTTCTGCTTCTTTAAACCATGCCTGTGCATGAGAGTGATATATTTTTGAAAACTTTAATTTTGAAAGCCATAATTTTTCTTACCCAGTTAAAGGGCAGGAGGAGGATGACAAATCGGAGTGGGTTTTTGGCTTTTGTCAAAGTCATCTCTGCGTTTTCAGAATCACAGTCGGCATATTAACATGGAAACAGACCAGGGCCCCGTCATCAGAGCAGAACGAAGCCTTCTTGACCTGGGGGAGAGACTGAGAAAAGGAAGGAGCCTTTTCTCCCAGCCCCAGACCAGGTCGTGTGTCAGCCTGTGGCGAGTTGCTCTTTGAAACACACTGACCAGAGCATCCCCCCAGGTCCCCGCGGCAGAGGGGCTCACGCTGCTCTCTGAGGAGACGGTTTGCTCCATAAGATGCGCCACACCCTGACCGACCTTCTGTTTCTAGTCTTAGCCGATGGGGAAAATTGCTGAGATGAGCGGCACAAGCAAGCGGCAGGGTGTGTGCCTCGAAAAGTCATTGATATCAGTGACCACCATGCTCATGGAGCGCTTTTGTCAAATTAGGAGAGAACAAAAATGCCCTGGGTCAGCTCGACACCGCATACTCAGCTGCACCTCAGTCTTCCATCTCACCTTCCCGTCACTCTTGTTCCTGTGGCATGCCACCAGGGAGACTGAACCAGACCTCCGTGTGGCACCGACACAGAGGTCACCTGGTCACGTTCTGTCACGTGTGAGTGGGAAGCTGGTCCTGGAGTGAGGAGGAACCACGTTGCCCTCTGATTGTGCCCTGACAAAGCTGGGGTCCCCACGTCTTTGTCCTGGAGCAGTGTCTGTTGTTGCCTGAGCTTCTCGTTTGTCAGTGTGGGGACGCAGGCCGACCTCTGGGCTGGTGACAGTTCTCTGTCAGGTAGTGGCACCCCGTCCACCTGGTATGCAGATCACGCACCAGGTACCCCGATGGCCGCACTGTCCAACCCTCTGCCCTACCCCGCTCTCTACAACTGAAAAGCACTGCAGCCCGTTCTCATGCCTTTTCCCTCCTGGGTCAGCAAGCCCAGAGTGTGCCACAGGCCGGAGCCAAGTTTGCAATAGAGTTAACGCCTTCGGGGCGGCCCTGTGCTTTGGCCCTTCTGTCTCCATACAGGCCCCATCCTAGAAGGCTGATGAAGCCCTGTGCTTCCTGGGGCCGTTCCTCCCCGTTGGGAACAAAGCTGCATCATGTAGGCAAGATCATGTAGGTGACCTCCCTCAAGGTGTCCCAAGAGGGACTTGCTCGCTGTGGCCGGAAATGCCTGGTGCCAGAGTACATTTCATCCAACGCTGCTCTGGCTTGCCACCCAGCAGGGCTGCCCAGACACACACACCGTAGTGAGGGTGACCATGTCACTGCTGGCCAGAGAGGCAGGTGGGCTGGGGAAACTGGGACATCCAGACAGTGCAGGGTCGCCTGCTCTGGCCCGCCCTGCAGGTTGTTCCCTTCACTGCATGCCAAAGGAAGGTAGGTAGTCGACTGACCTCCCAGCTCAGCTCCTGGGTCCTTTCATTTTCTGCTCTGAAACTGAACACCTGTTTGACTTCACTCCGCTTATACATGTTTGAGTATGTATGTACTTGAGTCATACCATCATGGGCGTCACCTCTCATTCACACACGCACTGTCACCGAGCTGTGAAGCAGGTCACCTGGAGCAATCTGGACCCGACTGCCTTGTTTGGTCTTGGAGGAGGGGCTGCGGCCCTGGCTTCAGTCAGCCCCTTAAACAGGAGGCATTACGGCCTGACCACCAGTCCTCTGCTGTCCCCTCCGGCAGCGGTGCTGCACAAGAAGGTGGCTGCCTCCTCCCTCTTTCCCGACACTGTAATTGTTGTTTTACAATGGAGTGCCTTAATAATAGTTTACAAATACTGTGTATTTATGGGAAACTGTTAAGCTCTCACCTTCTGTGATTGGATACTTTGCCTTGTCCGCGGCGGTTGGGGCCGGGGTGCGCCCTGTCCCGTCCCCGTGCTCATCTGCTGTGCAGTCTTGCACGCGCACCCACAGCTGTGCAAGGAGCTTTGCTAGAAATGGCTCTGGGGGTTCTGCAGGCAAGGCAGGCACTGGCTCACGCCGTGACCCGGAACAGTGAGGAGAGACTAGAACTCCGTGTGCCAGCCAGCCGAGGGGAGGGGGCGCAGCCCCGGCCACGCCCTCCACCCCATCACACAGCTGCGCTCTTCTTCAGTAGAGATTCCTTTTTGTTGTTGTTACCACCTGGGCCACCCTATTTTCTTCTTTGCTGGTGTCCTGAGCTCTTCGCAACAAAATGCAGGTACAGAACCCTCCCCCGCCCCCCCAAAATCAGGAGCTCCACAAGATGGGTTGCCCTTTGGTTTTCAGAAGCTGCCAGTGGGTTCTGATGTGTTGCGTAATGATATCAGTTTTCTTTATTATATTGTTTTTTCTTTTTTTTATAGTATATATTTAAAAGGCAGTATCTTTTGTACTGTGAATTTGCAGTAGAAGATGCATAACGCACTTTTTTTTTTACTTCTGTTGGTGTGTACTGTACATATAGTCTGTGTGCTTCTCGTGATGAAAATAAACTTTTTCTTTACAAATGCCTGATGACCTATGAACCTGTACAAAAGGAAACTGCCTCTTCAACCCCTGCCAAGGTGGTCAGATTCATCTCTATCACCACAATGTCCAGTCTTTCCTGAGCACCTGCTGTGTGCTGGGCCTCATGTTAAAATCCTGGACAGTTTAATCTCGGGAGGAAATAGCTCCTCCAGGAATTGGCTTTTCCCCTGACTTTGCCAGTGAAGAAGAACTAGCTCACCTGTGGGGAGGCATTTGTATACCAAGAAAAACTGCCCCCCCCCCCCAGAGTGGGAACTTGGACTTTGGGCGATCTCTCTCTCTGCACAAGCAGAAAATGTAAACCTAGCGGCGTGTGGCGTGCTGGAGAGAACCGCCTAAGCGACAGACACTGCACTTTCTGGGGGAGGGGACTGTGGAGGTGATCACTGCTAAGGGCCAGGGCGGGACCCCTGGGGAGGCCCCTGCACCGGACAGGGCAAAGGCTTTATTCACGCTCAGGTCCCAGTCCACTGCTGGTCAGGACCTTCTGGTGGCTGTCCCTTGGCAACTAGCAAAGCCAGGCTGCTTGCATTTAAAACCCCGCCTTCTTGGAGTTCTTTGCTTCTAGCCGTGCAGTCAGGGAAAGTGCATGGGGACTCGCATTCACGCTTAACTGCCTTTGGCTGCACGAAACTTCATGTCTACTCACATTCCAGTGGGCACGGCCTGTGATGCGGCCCCACCCCAGCTGCCGGGGGTGCTGAGAGCTGACTGTCCAACGCAAGTACTTCGGATCCAGAAAGTTCCTCACCAAGGCTTGTCTCTCTCTTCCCTGGACTTGGAGGGATAAGCTGGAATGCAAGTTTATTACTTTAGAACAAGAACGAAAGCTGTGGCCAGAGGACTCTCACTTGCCAGTTAGCACACTGAGTCCTAGACAAACCTACATGGGAAGTCACATTATGGTGAGGAGTTGCTTCCCGTGCACAAAATCAAAGTAGTCAGGGGACTGATTCTAATGGGTAGTGTTGTGAAGCCGTAACGCAGTCGCCTCTGTAAGATGTTTTCTAAACAACCTCTGAGGGTCATGGTTCAGCACACTGTTCCTTGGCAAGGCTGGACACGCATAGTAAATTCTCTCCAGGCTCCAAGGGCAAGTCAGAGCACGGGCTGTTTCTGATGGGTTCCCTGGGAATTCTGATGGCCCAGTTTAGAAGCCATTGATTGAAATGGGAATGTGATGCAATCCAGCAGGCTTCCACTTCACTAGCTGCAGTCACATTCCACACATGCTTTCTGGAGACAACACCCACATCACCCTAACAGAATCTGGGTGTTCCCAGAACTCGCCAGATGCTCATTTACCCAGGGCCCTGGGAGAACATCCTAGAACGGGCTGTGTTTACCCCGATTTCCTTCTCCGAGGAGCAACCCTGCGGTTGTGAGGGATCCCAGGTCACACCTCCAGTGGGGGATGGTTTTGCAGGGGGTGCGCTCTTGCTTGTGTTGACGCCTGGGGAAGCCCCTCTTGGCAGGAGGTTTGGAAGAGGCTCCAGCAGGCCGAGCGAGCGTGGAGGGAGACTGCATTTTGGGCGGACCGACTTCATGGCGGGAAAGCTCTTTCCACAGTAGACGTAGCAGCCACACTACCCATGTGAGGCCTGTCTGGCGCACACCAGCCATTGATCACGCACCCTAGCCCCCGGGAGCAGGAAATGCTTCTGCCCCTTCTGTGTGCCCAGCACTTTACAAAAGAACTTCCTTTACATTGAGTCCTCTGAGTGGCCCTGTTGACACCATCCTCAGTTTACAGCCGAAGAAACAGCCCTGCAGCATGTCAGCCACTCGCCCAAGGTTACTTCTCAGAAGAGGTGGAGCTGGATGGGTACTGCTGCATCCCCACCCGAAACCTCTCACCCAGGTGTCCCCCACCGCAGAAGTAGAAAGAAGCAAGTTGAAACTGCATCTTGATCTCACCTGTGCGTCTGAAATGAAGCCTCTGGCCCCTGGGGAATCTGACCCACGTGCCTGCTCCCAAGGCTACCTGGGCTACGGGAGGCGTGTTTCCCTCCCCCAGGTCGCATTCACCCTGCTTTGCCTTTTAAAGGGAAACTGCTCAGGTCTCCTTGAATATACTGCGGAGGAGCCTGTTTCAGCACGAAATTCCTTTCTTTTTCCGTAAACTGTGTCAGTAAATAAAATGTTAGCGTTTCCATGAGCAGCCTCCCACCGCGTAGAAGGGGATGTGTTGGGGGTGGAGGAGGGATCTGACATTAAAAGACAAATTCTCCCGCAAGTGGTTCACTGGGAGTGCAGAGGCCCCTCTGAGTTTTCAATTGGATATCAAATGGGTTGGTGATGGTACTGCCTGGCTCGTGGGGCCAATAATTGGAGAATTAGCTGATAATGTATGCAGACTCCCTTCTGCCTGGCACATCGTAAATGCTATTGTTGGTGCTGGCAGGAGGGATGGAGGGGAGGGAGACGGAAAGGAAGTAGAGTGTCTTTCACACCTATTGCTGAGCTGATCCTCACAGCAAGACATGACCTTGTTTTACAAAAAGGTTGAAGCTTCCTGAGAGGTTAGGTAACATGGGGCAGGGCCACACAGCCAGGAAGGGACAGAGACCCCAGGGTACCTGACCCCAAATTCATCTGCCTCCTACCTCATTCTCTTTTCCCCAAAGAAAATAGTCCTAAGGTACTTAGTGCGCTCATTAGCAGGTAGTGGGTACTTAATAAATATTTGATGAGTGAATGAATGGAATGTGCTGTGAAAATGAGTCCCAGTTCTATTCACCAAGGCCTGGGAAGTTTGGGAACAGCCGTGGCAGCCTGAACTAAGTTCCTCCAGGGCAGAGGCTGTGTCACAGTCACCTCCAGGACCCCACAAGGGCTCTTGGCATGTGGGACCGAACCCCCCAGGCCAAGGCCAGGAATTTGCTGTGACTCTAAGAATCCTGAGTTTCTCAGAGTCCAGAAGAATTCGAAAGGTCATCCAAGCCACGTCCGTCTTTAATATCCATCCATTCCAGGATTTTCCTGCCTGTTCATGATGCCCCTCTCATATTCCAGGCTCTGGGGACAAAGTGGGGACGGCTATCTCATCCCTGGGGTCCTGTTGGAAGGCCTCTCTGTAAAAAACAGGAAGAAAATGCACGCCACCTGCCAACAGCAACGAGGTCAGACAGGTAGGAATCAAGGTTTGTGTTACTTCCCTCCTTTTATCTATTCCAAAAATACCTGCAACGGAATGACGTTGCCTTTATAATAAAAAATGAAAATTTAAGACTTAATAAAAGGAGGTTTTTGGCCCTGGCCAGGTGGATCAGTTGGTTGGAACGCTGTCCCATACGCCAAAAACATTGCAGGTTCGATCCCCGGTCAGGGCACGTATGTAGGTTATTGGTTTGATTTCCGATCTGGGCATGTACAGGAAGCAACCAATTGATGTTTCTCTCTCTCCCCTCCTTCTTCTCTCTCCGAAATCTATAAACATATCCTTGGGTGAGGATTAAAGAATAAATAAAAAGGAGGTTTTTGTATTAAGCTGAAATTTGCACTCTAAGCTCCCAGGCCTGTGGTTCTACGATATTCAGCACTTCATTGGGGGGGGGGTCTCCCCTCTGCTGGGCAGCGCAGGTTCCCTCCAACAGGGAGATTGCTCTCGGGTCTCCGTGGCTCTGCAGCGCCAGGCAGGCTCACCACTGTGGGCTGTCAGCTTCTCGGGCCCGCTCTCTGAGCACGGGGGAGGCTGGCAGCGGCACCGCACGGTGTGATGGTGAAGTGTAGCCCCCAGGGCTGCCCTCAGAGGCTGCTGCACAGGACTCCGCACTCGCGAGACCCTGCAGTTGGCCTAATGCCCTGTGGTCCCTGTCCTAATATTTCTCATAATTCTTCCACAGGGGCCAGACCTTTTCATCTTGCCCTGGGCCCCTGCAAATTATGTAGCTGGTCCTGGCACTGTCTCCACACTGGTCCAGGGCTTTGGAGCAAGACAGCCTGGGGTCCGGCTCCTTAACTCACCCACTCTGTGACCTGGAGCAAGTGCCTTAACCTCTCTGTGCCTCAGTTACCTCATTCGAGAAACAAGAATAACCTCAGACTGTGGTAAAGGTTAGCACTGTGTAATTAGCACAAAGTAAATACCCCTGAAATGATATATTATTTGCCTTATAAAATACTTAGTGCAAGTCCTGGCCCAGGGCAATCCCTCGGTGACTAGTTGCTATTATCGTGGGGAAGACAGAGGTCACGCCCACAGACCAACCCAGAAGCCTGCCAGCCTCTCTTTCCACCTGCTCCCCAAGAATCGTGGCTCTGAGGGACAGAGCACATGCAAGCTCCCAGGACTGGGAAGAACTCAGCCGGGGTGTGCCTGTGCATCCTCCCCCTCCCCTGCCACTGACCCCGAGGAGGATGCTGGCTCTGCCTCTCTCCCACAGAAACACCATTTGTCCCCGACCTGGACCCCACCAGTTCTTCCCAACAAGATTTTGGGCAGGGGAATGCGAGGGCAGCCTGGGAGCATGGGTTTGTTCCTGCTGCGATCCAGAGGTACATCCTGTTCTGGCGTTGCCATGGCACAGCCAAACATCTGCCACAACAGACGGCTGGGCTGGCTGGCGGCTGGCAGCAGGGCCTTGGACGGGTGAGGGCCTGGATAGGCACGGGAGGCAGGGGTGGAGGGGGTGCAAGACCCAACAAGACCTGAGTGTGGGAAGAAACCACCTCCCAAACATGTGCACACATACACACGTGTGTGCACACATGAACACACATTCATGACATACATGCATACATGTGAGCTGGCCTTCCAGGACGGACAGACTTCCCACAGGGAAGAGTTCCCAGTTCTGGATTTTCTTCCTGGAGATTCTGGGGGCAGATCCCGAATGCCCAGCCCTGGCAGGACGGGGGCCTCCTGAATTCTCCCCCTGGTCCTACTCACAGCCCTGCTCCAGGAGCTGCCCAAGGCCCCAGCCTGCTCCCAAGATGGAATTCGCTTTCCTGATTACTATTGTTTTCTCTTGTTAGAAA